AAATATTTGATATCATCAAATATTACTTCTACCCTGTCAAAGGGAAACTACTGGGAACCATCAAATTCATTTCTTTGCACCAGAAGGCTTTAATTAATATATTTTTCAATTTATATTTTTAAATTTATATTTTTTTTAGATAAAAATCGAGTCTTGAAAATAACACTGATATAATTGTGGAGATAAAAACAGGGGGAAAGGGGGAGCGCCAAAATCCAAAGGGAGAGACCAGATGAGAAAGGTACAAAGCTGAAGGGCAGCCACAAAACAAAAAGGAAAAGGAAGCACGAGCTGCACATTACACGATTAGTAGTAGAATATTACAGGGAGAATCTCCTGGATAAACCATATAAAAAATTCTCCAAATCAAACAAATTCTATTGCAACCCAATGATTGAATGCTACGTTTTCCATCCAAACAAGCACCAAGTGATTGCTTGGTACCGTTTTCTAGTGATTGACACCACAACAATAGATTTGGCTAATACCAATATCATTAAAATTATAATTTTTTTAGAAAATAGTGTATAAAAATTTTAAAATTAAATCTTTAATATGGTTTCTGAATTATTGCATGAACTCTTGATTTGATTCTTAAACTAAAAAATCTCTAATTTGATCCTTAAGCTATCGTATGGATCTCTGATTTGATCCATATTATTTATCAATTTGTCCAAAGTTGATTATTTCGTACAAAAACTAATTGTTATTAATGTGACACGTAACCGTTGAGTTATTGTTTTTCGTCATTAAGTTATTATTTTTCGTCATTAAATAATGGACACGTCAACTGTTTTTTGTACAAAAGAACTAACTTGAGGCAAATTGGTAAACAGTAGGGACCAAATTGGGGGTCCGTACAACAGTTCAGGGACTAAATCAAGGGTTTTTTTAGTTTAAGGACCAAATCGAGAGTCCATATAATAATTCAGGGACCAAATTGAGAGTTTAACTAAATTTTAATTGAAAGTAATTAATAAATAATAATTAATAATTAATAATTAATAGGCATAACCATTCCCCACAACTATAAAGTCTATGATCCTTTCTTCTTGATTATAAAAAAAGGAAAAGGAAAAAGAAAAAAGAATATAATATGAATCTTATTATATTCTGGAGGTTCAACATAGATCATCTTTGCTGCCCCAAAAAAACATAGATCATCCTTGCTAAATGATCTTGTAACGTGGTGATATCTTTATTCTTTAGGTTGAGATACTGAATATAAGTTTCTATAATAATTTATTGAAATGGGAATATAAAAAGTTAGTCAAAAGTTTAATCCAGCTCACATTAAAAATATAAGTTTAAATAACATAACCCTATAATCACATGGGTTTAGATTGAGCCCTAGCCGTTTAAGCAGATGTTAAACTGACAAATACTTTTTACACGTTAATTAATTTGTTTTCTTGGTCCTAAGTTGAGAACTTTGAAACTCAACTTGCTACAACCTTTCGAGTGCAAAAAGACAGAAGAAAGAAAATGATGTCACCACAAGAGTTTGACTTTCAAGGATGGAACCAAGAAAGAAAGAAATATTAGTTATGCACACATTTGAAGGTGAATAATTAAAAAAGGGAGAAAAAGTTGTCACAGAAGCTGCCCCATATGCAAATTAAAGTGACTTTAGTTTGGATCTATATTTCTACATCTCTTTGTTGACATCATTTTCTTTATGGAACAAGGTGCATACCATCACATGAAAAGATCTTCAAAACAAAAGGCAGAAAAGAGAAAATGATTCACAGTCGCAAGAAATGCTGTTCCATTTAATGGAAAACTGATGTTTGTGGAAAGTGTATTTGAACTGATTCAAAGTTGCTCCTACTTGTGGATTAGTGGATGCATAGAGGGTTGGCCGTACTCTTACTCTGAATGGAATCCGAATCCTAGGAAGTGTTTGATAACTAAATTCTTTATACGCTGATTACAATTAACAATGTATATGAGATAAGATTATCCTTCGTATTCTAATTAATGAAGTGTTTTGTAGTTTTGGCTTTTTTAAAAAATAAAAAAGGAAGAAAAAACCTATAAATAATTTAAGTGGTTGCAAAGATAGCCAAATGCAATGTCTAATGGTTACAAAGGGATTTCATTAATTTCTTTCACTTTCTCTGGTTGGTATTTAATGTGAATCTAGTCATCTATTGTCTAGCCCTAAATATCCTGTTTGGAAATATTGTTTGATCCTTTTTTGGGTTGAAGAATGGGGTGATAAATTGGGATCTTTTGACTATGAAATGGAAGGCATTATGTTTGGGGCATTAGTGGGTTTGTGAGGGCCACACAATTCCCACTTAATTTTCCTCAGGTGGTTGCCGTGGGTTGTGGTGGGAGGAATCCCAGGAGATGGTGGATTTCATGTTAGAGTAGACATATTTCCTTTTTTGCTACATTGCACCATTTTGGCCCCATCAATTTTCTCACCTTGACAGGATTAAAGCAAGCAAAGCAAATTATCCTATAAATGGCCCAAAAACCTTTTTTGCTACATTGCACCATTTTTGCCCCATCAATTATCACCTTGACAGGAGTAAAACAGGCAAAGCAAAGCAAATTATCCTATAAATGGCCCCAAAAAAAGAAAAAAGAACCAAATTATCCTGTCTGATAATTTTTGCCCAATTTTGGTAACAATTTTAAGGAAGAGGATTTTTTTTTTTTTTTTTTTGGTGTAGTATTAGTCAAAGCTTGAAAGGTAAATCATTCACACCAGACTAAAGGATGTATGAGGAAATTATCATCTCCCAACCCTCTCGATGAATGGAACCTTTTTCAAAGACCAAAAAAAAAAAAGGAAAAAAAGAAAGAAAAAGAAAAAGAAAAAGAGTAATCCTAAATTTAGTTTGGGTCCTTGGGAATTGGGAGTTATGATTTTGGATCTCAACACACTCGGTCCATCAATGCTGGAAATTTACTCTAGTTCTCTAATGCAGGGCCTCCATGATGGCCATTTGTTGTATTAGGGCCTCTATTAACCCCTTTATGGAAAAAGCCCAATCTATGTATCAATGGAGACTTCTTGGGCTAAGAGTTTTTCGGCCTTTTCCTTAACTTAGAGTTCAGATCGTGCAATTTCAGATCCATTTAGAAGACTAGAACAATCTACACCACTTTTTTTTTTTTTTTTTTTTTTTTAAAACAAGCCTTCTAAGTTATTGTATATGATTCATTATTTTCTTTTTAAAGATTTGTCAATAATATTATATCAATCGAATTATTTAGTAATGAAAAATAATCATAAACTTAGAATTCTACAAGATATTTTATTATAGCATTACGACTCCCAGCCTTTGTGCCTTACTAGGTGTCAATCACCTTGTTTAAGCAATGCACCAATGATTACCTTTTTAATTGATATAAAATAAGCTCCTGCTCAAGTTTATTGAGGTGTTTGTATTGATTTTTTTATAAACAATTATTAATTGTTATCTTTAATTAAATGAATATGATATTTTAAATTATAAATTATTAAATATTAATTATTATTTGTCAACTATATCTAAATAACTAATTCAAACAATCTTTACATCCAATTAAATTTAATAAATAGTTTATTAACTATGTAATTTATTTTAGTTTAGTCTAAAAATAGTTTTTTCTTTTAAAATGATATACAAACTATCAATTTTATTTTAAAGTGATCTATTTGACAAACTGTTGATGTGTGCCCTTAAACTTTTGAAAAATGGTAAATATAGTGTATATATTTTTATTTTTTACAATATTTTGTTTTTAAAATTTAAATTCTATATCAAATGTAATAATTAACTAAGATAAAATTTCAATTTACATTAATTAAGATTCTAATTGTAATTTGTAATAATCAATATCATAATTTAAATTTTAATATTTCTTAAAAAACTTAATACATTTATTAAATTACATATTTTTTCATTAATTTGTACA